TCAGCAACATGATGGGCCTGCCAGGCCAACTGGCCAATGAGCCCATTGCCGACTACAAAAAGCGCGTCCATGCTCAGCTCGCTGCAATCGAGGCTGAGGAAAAACGCCAGCTGGCAGTCAAGGCTGCCCAGCTACAGGCTGATGAAGCGGCAACAGCAGAGAAGCTGCGGCTACAGGCCGAAGCAGACGCAGATGCCCAGGCTCGCCGCAAGGAAGCCCAGGCTCTGCTGCAGCGGCATGAAGCCAACAGCATCGAGACACGGGCACTGGACGCCCGTGTACGGGACCTGGAACAGGCTGTACCAGGACCAGATGCTGGAGCTTTCACCAGTGCATCCTCTAGCCGCCAACTGGAGGAACGCGTTGACCACGTAGTGGCAATGCTAGGAGACATAAGTGCCTTGACAGAGCCGGCCACCATCAGCCAGCGGTTCAAATTGCTGGACACTAAGATCAGTCAGCAACAGCAGACTGACCACAGCCACAACAACAACTCGGCGAGGCCATACAAGATGCCGACGTTCCGGATCGAGAAATTTGATGACTACACACATCAAGACCCGGTCGTCTGGTGGCAAGGATTTACAACGGAATTGGGGATTCACGAAGTCCCTGACCATCTGTTCATCAGTGCTTTGTTCATCAACACCAAGGGAGGTTGTCAGATCTGGCTCAGCCACATGGCAACCATCCACGGCGTCCAGGTTTCAGACCTGTACAAGAAGGTCTCCTGGGAGGACATGACAAAGGAATGGAAGAAGCGGTTCATCGTCGACGACGCCCCGGCACTCGCCGTCAACCGCATCTTCACGATGGCTCAAGGGAGCACACCTGACTGGCTCACGGATTGGCAGAAAATTGTGGCGACGCCCGATTTGGACTTGTCATTTCCGCATCTGCGGCGTGAGTTCTACAACAGGTCATGCGCCGCTCTCATCCTCGCACTTGGTGATCGCGAGCAGTACAGCACTTTCGCAGAGATCATCAACAAGGCGAGAGAGCTCATCAAGACTAACAGGCCGGCTGCACACGAGAAGTCCACGTGGCAGCCAACCTATGTGGAGAAGGTACGAACTGGTCAGCGACAGCAGCAGTTCGCTGCAGTCCAGTCGGACAGTGGAGATAACCCAGCAGCCACTCCAACATCAAGTGACGGAGATCAGGTGGCTGCCGTCCAGCCGCGAAGCAACAACAAGTCCCGCAACAATGGGAAGGCGAAATCCGCATCGCAGACCGGAAATGGACAGCCAGGACAATTTCCATGGGTCAAGTTTGGCTTAACCGAGGCGGAGTACAAGGTCCGCGGCCGCTACGGCAGCTGCTATTGGTGCAACAGCACCAAGCACAAGACCTCCCTGTGCCAAGATCAGGGCAAGGAGGATGTGCGACCCCGCCTCAGCTCGGGAAACTGAGCTCCACGGAAGGTGAAGCGACTCCACCTTCTACTCCGCCAGATTCGGTCGCCTTGCTAGCGGCCTCCTGCACATCTGGGGGGAATGCGAATGTCGCAAGTCCTCGGTATACTTACGAGGATTATGCTGTCCACTTGGTTCCACCGCTGGACCAACCGCTCCACGTGCAACAGTCCACCGCATGCACGGTTTCATCACCATTGGCAACCAATTCGGCAGCTTCGTCGCAATCTATAGCCAGGGATTCGACGTCATGGTCAAGACTTGAAGAGCTCGACCCATTGACGTTCACGGACTTCCAGTGGATGCCCGTTACCTCGACCGGACGATTGTCGAAACCGCATTGCAACGTGCTTATGGCACAATTGCGGGACTACTTGCACACTGCAGTACCACCTTCGTTGATGGACGCCGGAGCAGAGGTTGTCGACCTTCACGTTTAGATCGCGAAGATCGACCTCGAGTTCAAAACGCAACGGTACGACGACATCGACGCACCATTGCTATACATACGCATTCAGATTGGAGAGGCGACCTGCAGTGCCTTGATCGATTGCGGAGCATCTCGCAACTACATCAGCCAGGACTTCATGGTACACGCCGGCCTTGGCCCACGTGTCCGCAAGTCACATTGGAGGACGGTCACACGCACAAGTCAATCGACCGGTGCATTGACAGCGTCCCAGTGTACTTTGCCCCTCACGCAAGTGAGGCGGTGTCCTTTGACATTCTGGACACCAAATTCGACATGATCTTGGGCATGTCATGGCTGCGAAGCAAGGATCACCCGGTGAACTTCTTCAACCGCACCGTTCACGTTCGTGACCGGAACGAAGTACTAGTTCCATGTACGGTGCCTCTTCCTCATCCTTCGATCAGCTGCCACGTGGTATCCACCGCAAGCATGCGAGCTTCCATCAGCAGAGACGACATCGAGGAGATGGGGGTGTGTTTTCTCCACACCCTCCCGCCCCATGACGCTTCATCGACAGACTCACCTTCGGATCCACGCATCACCGAACTTCTCGACGCCTACAGCGACGTGTTCGAAGGCCCGCACGGAGTAGTACCGGATCGACCCATCCGCCACGAGATCATCCTCGAGGACAGGGCCGTACCTCCACGCGGTTGCATCTACCGAATAAGCGAGGAAGAGGTAAGTGTGCTTCGGGCACAACTCGACGACCTTCTGGAGAAAGGCTGGATTCGGCCTAGCTCATTGCCATACGGTGCTCCTGTTCTCTTCGTCCGGAAGAMGAACAAGGACCTGCGGTTGTGAATCTATTATCGCAAGCTCAACTCGCAGACGATCAGGAACGCTGGCCCTCTCCCGCGCATCGACGACCTTCTCGAGCGATTGGGCGGCGCCCAGTTCTTCTCTAAGCTGGATCTCAAGTCAGGGTACCACCAACTCGAGATTCGCAAGGAGGATCGCTACAAGACYGCGTTCAAGACACGATATGGGCATTTCGAATGGTTGGTCATGCCATTTGGCCTTACGAATGCCCCAGCCACTTTCCAAGCGGCTATGACGACGGAGTTCCGACACATGCTGAATCGTCTCGTACTTATCTACCTCGACGACATTCTGGTTTACAGTCGGAGTCTGGACGAGCATGTGGAACACCTGCGCACCATTTTGGAGCGGCTACGACACGCCAAGTACAAAGCAAACCGCGACAAGTGCGAGTTCGCACAGCAGGAGCTGGAGTACTTGGGACACTATGTGACGCCGCAAGGCATCCGTCCGCTTGCGGACAAGATCGAGGCCCTACGAGTATGGGTCGAGCCCACCAACACCACGGACGTTCGTTCATTCATGGGGTTGGCGGGCTACTATCAGCGATTCATCACCGGATACTCAAGGATTGCTGCACCTATGACGAGGTTACAATCGCCAAAGGTGCCGTTCGTATTCAATGACGACGCACGCCGGTCATTCCAAGCACTTAAGACGGCTATGCTCATGGCACCCGTCCTTAGCATCTATGACCCCACCCTGCCGACGCCAGTGACTACGGACGCTTCCGGCTATGGCATTGGGGCAGTCTTGGAACAGCACGACGGCGACGACTGACACCCTGTGGAGTATTTCAGCCACAAAGTGCCTCCCATCAACTCGCTCGATGATGCAAGGAAGAAGGAGCTGCTCGCATTCGTGATGGCTCTCAAGCGCTGGCGGCACTTCCTCCTTGGGCGTTGTAGGTTCACATGGGTCACAAACAACAATCCATTGACCTACTACAAGACGCAGGACACGGTGAGCAGCACGATCGGACGATGGATGTACTTCATCGACCAATTTGACTTCACACCGAAACATGTCCCTGGCCTCTCCAATCGCGCAGCAGATGCACTCTCGCGAAGACCAGATCTTTGCGCTATGACACATCATGCCTTCGCATTCGACGAAGAGCTTCAGCGACACTTCATCCGGGCATATCAGTCTGATCCGGACTTCGGCACGCTCTATGCACAGCTATCTTCGGATCGCCCGCCGGCCAGCCATTTCCGCATAGTTGACGGGTACTTGCTCCTCCACTCGAGAGGCAAGGACCACGCGACCGTCGTCTTCGTACTCGCCTCCTCGGCGAGTATCATGATTCACGACTCGCTGGCCATTTCGAAGTCAACCGCACTATTGCACGGCTTCGACAGCGATTCCGATGGCCCGACCTCATTACCGATGTCACTCGGTATTGCGACTCTTGCGAAGTTTGTCGACGCAGCAAGCCCCGCAACCGCAATCCCTACGGCGAGTTACACCCGATGCCTATCCCACGGGAACCCGGTCTCTCCATTGCCATGGACGTCACCGGTCCGTTT